CTTCCAAGACAAGCTCGGTATTACTTGATTGCAAACTGTTTATTGCTCGTAGTGAGGAAAGGGCAGTCAGAAAAGAAATAATTAAACTGTCTACTTCAGTGTTGTCAATAATTTCGAGTGTTAAGAGTATTGCTAACATTCAGCTTAGGGACATCAGGTGTGAGGCTGGGCGTTAGGTGTGAGGCTGGGCGTTAGGTGTGGGGGGCTGGACGTAAGGTGTGAGGCTGGGCGTTAGGTGTGAGGATGGGACGTTAGGTGTGAGAGCTGGGCGTTAGGTGTGTGGGCTGGGCGTTAGGTGTGTGGGCTGGGCGTTGGGTGTGAGGCTGGGGCGTTGGGTGTGTGGGCTGGGTGTTAGTGTGGAGGCTGGGAGGGGCGTCGTAAGGTGTGGAGGCAGTCGGCGTTAGGTGTGTGGGCTGGGCGTCAGGTGATGTGCGGCTGGGCGTCAAGTGCGTGGAGGCTGGGCCGTAAGGTGTGAGGATGGGCGTTATGTGTGAGGCTGGGCGGTCAGGTGTGAGGCTGGGACGTTGTGTGTGAGGCTGGGACGTTAGGGTGTGTGGGCTGGGCGTTAGGTGTGTGGGCTGGGCGTAAGGTGTGAGGCTGGGCGTTAGGTGTGTGGGCGGGGCGTTAGGTGTGTGGGCTGGACGTTTGGTTTGAGGCTGGGCGTTAGGTGTGAGGCTGGGCGTTAGGTGTGAGGCAGGGCGTTAGGGTGTGAGGCTGGCGTTAGGTGTGAGGCTGGGTGTTTTGGTGTGAGGATGGGCGTTAGGTGTGAGGCTGGGACGTTAGGTGTTGAGGCTGGGCGTTAGGGGTGAGGCTGGGCGTAAGGTGTGAGGCTGGGCGTTAGGTGTGTGTGGATGGGACGTTAGGTGTGAGGCTGGGACATTAGGTGTGTAGCTGGGACGTTAGGTATGAGGCTGGGCCGTTAGGTGTGTAGGGGGCACTGGTGTGTTAGGTGCGTGAGGTGTGGGGGTGCGTTAGGGTGTGGAGGCTAGGCGTTAGGTGTGAGGCTGGGCGTTGGTGTGAGGCTGGGTGTTAGGTGTGAGGCTGGGCGTTAGGTGTGAGGCGGGGCGTTAGGTGTGAGGCTGGGCGTTAGGTGTGTGAGGCTGGGCGTTAGGTGTGAGGCTGGGCGTTAGGTGTGAGGCTGGGCGTTAGTTTGTGGGGACGTCAGGCGTGTAGAGGGGTGTGAGGTGTGGGAGGGACGTTAGGTGTGAGGCTGGGCGTTAGGTGTGAGGCTAGGCGTTAGGTGTGGGAGGGGCGTAAGGTGTGGGAGGGGTGTCAGGTGTGGAGGGGACGTCAGGGGTGTGGGAGGCTAGCGTTAGGTGTGTGAGAGGGGCGTCAGGAGTGCTAGGGGCGTAAGGTGTGAGGCTGGGCGTTAGGTGGTGTGAGAGAGACGTCAGGTGTGTGGAGGGGCGTCAGGTGTGTGAGAGGGGCGTCAGGTGTGAGAGGGGCGTCAGGTGCGAGAGGGGCGTCAGGTGTGAGAGGGGCGCGTGAGGTGTGTGAGAGAGGCGTCAGGTGAGAGGGGCGTGTGAGAGGGGCGTCAGGTGTGAGCAGTAGGTGTGAGAGGGGCGTCAGGTGTGTGAGGGCGTCAGGTGTGTGAGAGGGGCCAGGGTCAGGTGTGTGAGAGCCACAGGTGTGAGGTGTGAGAGGGCCTCAGGTGTGTGAGCTGGGCCTCAGGTGTGTGAGAGCCTCAGGTGTTGTGAGAGCCTTCAGCTTAGGGACATCAGGTGTGTGGAGGGACGTCAGGTGTGTGAAGGGACGTCAGGTGTGTGGGAGGGACGTCAGGTGTGTGAAGGGACGTCAGGTGTGTGGGCGGGACGTCAGTGTGTGTGAGTCAGGTGTGTGGGAGGGACGTCAGGTGTGTGGGAGGGGCGTCAGGTGTGTGGGAGGGGCGTCAGGTGTGTGGGAGGGGCGTCAGGTGTGTGGGAGGGGCGTCAGGTGTGTGGGAGGGACGTCAGGTGTGTGGGAGGGGCGTCAGGTGTGTGGGAGGGACGTCAGGTGTGTGGGAGGGACGTCAGGTGTGTGGGAGGGGCATCAGGTGTGTGGGAGGGGCGTCAGGTGTGTGGGAGGGACGTCAGGTGTGTGGGAGGGACGTCAGGTGTGTGGGAGGGACGTCAGGTGTGTGGGAGGGGCGTCAGGTGTGTAGAGGGGCGTCAGGTGTGGGAGGGCCGTTAGGTGTGTAGAGGGGCGTCAGGTGTGGGAGGGGCGTCAGGTGTGGGAGGGGCGTCAGGTGTGTAGAGGGGCGTCAGGTGTGGGAGGGACGTCAGGTGTGTGGGAGGGACATCAGGTGTGTAGAGGGGCGTCAGGTGTGGGAGGGACGTCAGGTGTGTGGGAGGGACGTCAGGTGTGTGGGAGGGACATCAGGTGTGTAGAGGGACGTCAGGTGTGGGAGGGCCGTCAGGTGTGTAGAGGGGCAACAGGTGTGGGAGGTGCGTCAGGTGTGGGAGGTGCGTCAGGTGTGGGAGGTGCGTCAGGTGTGTAGAGGGGCGTCAAGTGTGGGAGGGACGTCAGGTGTGGGAGGGACGTCAGGTGTGGGAGGGACGTCAGGTGTGTAGTGGGGCGAAAGGTGTGGAGGGGCGTCAGGTGTGGGAGGGGCGTCAGGTGTGGAGGGGCGTCAGCTGTGGGAGGTGCGTCAGTTTGGGAGGGACGTCAGGTGTGTAGAGGGGCGTCAGGTGTGGGAGGGACGTCAGGTGTGGGAGGGACGTCAGGTGTGTAGAGGGTCGTCAGGTGTGGGAGGGGCGTCAGGTGTGGGAGGGGTGTCAGGTGTGTGGAGGGACGTCAGGTGTGTGGGAGGGGCGTCAGGTGTGTGAGAGGGGCGTCAGGTGTGTGAGAGGGGCGTCAGGTGTGAGAGGGGCGTCAGGTGTGGAGGGACGTCAGGTGTGTGGAGGGGCGTCAAGTGTGTGGGAGGGGCGTCAGGTGTGAGAGGGGCGTCAGGTGTGGAGGGACGTCAGGTGTGTGGAGGGGCGTCAGGTGTGTGGGAGGGGCGTCAGGTGTGAGAGGGGCGTCAGGTGTGGAGGGGCGTCAGGTGTGTGGGAGGGGCGTCAGGTGTGTGGGAGGGGTGTCAGGTGTGTGGGAGGGGCGTCAGGTGTGGAGGGACGTCAGGTGTGTGGAGGGGCGTCAAGTGTGTGGGAGGGGCGTCAGGTGTGAGAGGGGCGTCAGGTGTGGAGGGACGTCAGGTGTGTGGAGGGGCGTCAGGTGTGTGGGAGGGGCGTCAGGTGTGGGAGGGGCGTCAGGTGTGGAGGGGCGTCAGGTGTGTGGGAGGGGTGTCAGGTGTGTGGGAGGGGCGTCAGGTGTGAGAGGGGCGTCAGGTGTGGAGGGGCGTCAGGTGTGTGGGAGGGGTGTCAGGTGTGTGGGAGGGGCGTCAGGTGTGGGAGGGGCGTCAGGTGTGGAGGGGCGTCAGGTGTGTGGGAGGGGTGTCAGGGTGTGGGAGGGGCGTCAGGTGTGTGGGAGGGGTGTCAGGTGTGGGAGGGGCGTCAGGTGTGTGGGAGGGGCGTCAGGTGTGGGAGGGGCGTCAGGTGTGGGAGGGGCGTCAGGTGTGGGAGGGGCGTCAGGTGTGTGGGAGGGGCGTCAGGTGTGGGAGGGGCGTCAGGTGTGGGAGGGGCGTCAGGTGTGTGGGAGGGGAGTCAGGTGTGTGGGAGGGGCGTCAGGTGTGTGGGAGGGGCGTCAGGTGTGTGGGAGGGGTGTCAGGTGTGTGGGAGGGGTGTCAGGTGTGTGGGAGGGGCGTCAGGTGTGTGGGAGGGGCGTCAGGTGTGGGAGGGGCGTCAGGTGTGGGAGGGGTGTCAGGTGTGGGAGCAAAGTTTGCCTTCAGCACTGGGGGTGTCAGGTGTGGGAGGGGTGTCAGCCTCCCCACAAGTCACCTCTATATTTCTAGAACAAAAACAAAGGTGTAATAACTTGCCTTTGACGGCGTCGTTCACTAAGCAAAGTTTGCCTTCAGCACTGGCAGCGGCGTTATGTACAGGTGGTCGCTATACCCAGGCCAGGGGGTCACACGTTATGTACAGGTGGTCGCTATACCCAGGCCAGGGGGACACGTTATGTACAGGTGGTCGCTATATCCAGGCCAGGGGGACACGTTATGTACAGGTGGTCGCTATATCCAGGCCAGGGGGACACGTTATGTACAGGTGGTCGCTATATCCAGGCCAGGGGGACACGTTATGTACAGGTGGTCGCTATACGCAGGCCAGGGGGACACGTTATGTACAGGTGGTCGCTATACGCACGCCAGGGGGACACGTTATGTACAGGTGGTCGCTATACGCAGGCCAGGGGGACACGTTATGTACAGGTGGTCGCTATACGCAGGCCAGGGGGACACGTTATGTACAGGTGGTCGCTATACGCAGGCCAGGGGGACACGTTATGTACAGGTGGTCGCTATACGCACGCCAGGGGGACACGTTATGTACAGGTGGTCGCTATACGCAGGCCAGGGGGACACGTTATGTACAGGTGGTCGCTATACGCAGGCCAGGGGGACACGTTATGTACAGGTGGTCGCTATACGCACGCCAGGGGGACACGTTATGTACAGGTGGTCGCTATACGCAGGCCAGGGGGACACGTTATGTACAGGTGGTCGCTATATCCAGGCCAGGGGGACACGTTATGTACAGGTGGTCGCTATATCCAGGCCAGGGGCAGACGTTATGTACAGGTGGTCGCTACATCCAGGCCATACAAATAAAATCAGCCACAGCTGACACTGTTGTACGGTGACCTGACGCTGTTGTACGGTGACCTGACGCTGTTGTACGGTGACCTGACGCTGTTGTACGGTGACCTGACACTGTTGTACGGTGACCTGACACTGTTGTACGGTGACCTGACGCTGTTGTACGGTGACCTGACACTGTTATACGGTGACCTGACGCTGTTGTACGGTGACCTGACACTGTTGTACGGTGACCTGACGCTGTTGTACGGTGACCTGACACTGTTGTACGGTGACCCGACACTGTTGTACGGTGACCCGACACTGTTGTACGGTGACCTGACACTGTTGTACGGTGACCTGACACTGTACGGTGACCTGACACTGTTGTACGGTGGCCTGACACTGTTGTACGGTGACCTGACACTGTTGTACGGTGACCTGACACTGTTGTACGGTGACCTGACACTGTTGTACGGTGACCTGACGCTGTTGTACGGTGACCTGACACTGTTGTACAGTGACCTGACACTGTTGTACGGTGACCTGACACTGTTGTACGGTGACCTGACACTGTTGTACGGTGACATGACGCTGTAGTACGGTGACCTGACACTGTTGTACGGTGACCTGACACTGTTGTACGGTGACCTGACACTGTTGTGTCTTGCCTGAGCACTAGCGTGAGACTTGCCTGAGCATCAGCGTGAGACTTGCCTGAGCATCAGCGTGAGAGACACCTGAGCACCAGCGTGAGAGACTTGCCTGAGCATCAGCATGAGACTTGTCTCATCACCAGCGTGAGATACTTGCCTGAGCATCAGCGTGAGACCCGCATGAACATCAGCGTGAGACCCGCATGAACATCAGCGTGAGACCCGCATGAACATCAGCGTGAGACTTGCCTGAGCATCAGCGGTTGACTTACCTGAGCATTAGCGTGAGAGACTTGCCTGAGCACCAGCCTGAAGAATCAGCATGACAGACCCGCCTGAGCATCAGCGTGAGAGACCCGCCTGAGCATCAGCGTGAGACTTGCCTGAGCATCAGTGTGAGAGACTTGCCTGAGCATCATCGTGAGACTTGCCTGAGCATCAGCGTGAGAGACTTGCCTGAGCATCATCGTGAGACTTGCCTGAGCATCATCGTGAGAGACTTGCCTGAGCATCAGCGTGAGAGACTTGCCTGAGCATCAGCGTGAGAGACTTGCCTGAGCATCAGCGTGAGAGACTTGCCTGAGCATCAGCGTGAGAGACATGCCTGAGCATCAGCGTGAGAGACTTGCCTGAGCATCAGCGTGAGAGACTTGCCTGAGCATCAGCGTGAGAGACTTGCCTGAGCATCAGCGTGAGAGACTTGCCTGAGCATCAGCGTGAGAGACTTGCCTGAGCGTCAGCGTGAGAGGCTTGCCTGAGCATCAGCGTGAGACTTGCCTGAGCATCAGTGTGAGAGACTTGCCTGAGCATCAGCGTGAGAGACTTGCCTGAGCATCAGCGTGAGAGACATGCCTGAGCATCAGCGTGAGAGACTTGCCTGAGCATTAGCGTAAGAGACTTCACTGAGCATCAGTGTGTGACTTGCCTGAGCATTAGCCTAAGAGACTTTCCTGAGCATCAGCGTGAGAGACTTGACTGAGCATCAGTGTGACTTGCCTGAGCATTAGCGTGAGACTTGCCGGGGCATCAGCGTGAGAGACTTGCCTGAGCATCAGCGTGAGAGACTTGCCTGAGCATCATCGTGAGACTTGCCTGAGCATCATCGTGAGACTTGCCTGAGCATCATCGTGAGACTTGCCTGAGCATCATCGTGAGACTTGCCTGAGCATCATCGTGAGACTTGCCTGAGCATCATCGTGAGACTTGCCTGAGCATCATCGTGAGACTTGCCTGAGCATCATCGTGAGACTTGCCTGAGCATCATCGTGAGACTTCCCTGAGCATCATCGTGAGACTTGCCTGAGCATCATCGTGAGACTTGCCTGAGCATCGTCGTGAGACTTGCCTGAGCATCAGCGTGAGACATGCCTGAGCATCAGCGTGAGAGACTAGCCTGGGCATCACCGTGAGACACACACCTGAGCACCATCATTAGACCCACCTGAGCACCACAGTGAGAGACACACCTGAGCACCACCGTGAGACACACACACCTCAGCATCAGCGTGAGAGACTTGCCTGAGCACCAGCCTGAGAGACTTGCCTGAGCATCAGCATGACAGACCTGCCTGAGCATCAGCGAGAGATCCGCATGAGCATCAGCGTGAGAGACTTGCCTGAGCATCAGCGTGAGAGACTTGCCTGAGCATCAGCGTGAGAGACTTGCCTGAGCACCAGCCTGAGAGACTTGCCTGAGCATCAGCATGACAGACCCGCTTGAGCATCAGCGTGAGAGACCCGCCTGAGCATCATCGTGAGAGACTTGCCTGAGCACCAGCGTGAGACTTGCCTGAGCATCAGCGTGAGAGGCTTGAGTGAGCATCAGTGTGAGAGACTTGCCTGAGCACCAGAGTGAGAGATCCGCCTGAGTATCAGCGCGAGAGACTTGCCTGAGCACTAGCGTGAGACTTGCCTGATCATCAGCGTGAGACTTGCCAGAGCATCAGCGTGAGAGACACCTGAGCACCAGCGTGAGAGACTTGCCTGAGCACCAGAGTGAGAGACTTGCCTGAGCATCAGCATGAGACTTGCCTCATCACCAGCATGAGAGACTTGCCTGTGCATCATCGTGAGACTTGCCTGAGCATCATCGTGAGACTTGCCTGAGCATTAGCGTGAGACTTGCCTGAACATCAGCATGAAAGTCTTGCCTGAGCACCAGCTAAGACTTGCCTGAGCATCATCATGAGACTTGCCTGAGCATCAGCCTGAGCAACTTGCCTGTTCATCAGCGTGAGAGACATGCCTGAGCATCAGCGTGAGAGATTTGCCTGGGCATCAGCGTGAGACTTCCCTGAGCATCAGCGTGAGACTTGCCTGAGCATCAGCGTGAGAGGCTTGACTGAGCATCAGCGTGAGAGACTTGCCTGAGCACTAATGTGAGACTTGCCTGAGCATCAGCGTGAGACTTGCCTGAGCATCAGCTTGAGAAACACCTGAGCACCAGCGTGAGACTTGCCTAAGCACCAGAGTGAGAGACTTGCCTGAACATCAGCATGAGATTTGCCTCATCACCAGCGTGAGATACTTGCCTGAGCATCAGCGTGAGACCTGCATGAACATCAGCGTGAGACTTCCCTGAGCATCAGTGTGTGAGACTTACCTGAGCACCAGAGTGAGAGACTTGCCTGAGCATCAGCGTGAGAAACTTGCCTGAGCATTAGCGTGAAAGACTTGCCTGAGCATCAGCGTGAGACTTGACTGAGCATCAGTGTGTGACTTGCCTGAGCATCAGCGTGAGAGACTTGCCTGAGCATCAGCGTGAGACTTGACTGAGTAATAGTGTGTGACTTGCCTGAGCATTAGTGTGAGACTTGCCTGAGCATCAGCGTAAGACTTGACTGAGCATCAGCGTGAGAGACTTGCCTGTTCATCAGCGTGAGAGACATGCCTGAGCATCAGCGTGAGATACTTGCCTGAGCATCAGCGTGAGACCCGCATGAACATCAGCGTGAGACTTGCCTGAGCATCAGTGTGTGAGACTTACCTGAGCACCAGCGTGAGAGACTTGCCTGAGCATCAGCGTGAGAAACTTGCCTGAGCATCAGCGTGTGAGACTTGCCTGAGCACTAGCGTGAGACTTGCCTGAGCATCAGCGTGAGACTTGCCTGAGCATCATCGTGAGACTTGCCTGAGCATCATCGTGAGACTTGCCTGAGCATCAGCATGAGAGAGACTTGACTGAGCATCAGTGTGTGACTTTCCTGAGCATTAGCGTGAAAGACTTGCCTAGCATCAGCGTGAGACTTGACTGAGCATCAGTGTGTGACTTGCCTGAGCATCAGCGTGAGAGACTTGCCTGAGCATCAGCGTGAGACTTGACTGAGTAATAGTGTGTGACTTGCCTGAGCATTAGTGTGAGACTTGCCTGAGCATCAGCGTAAGACTTGACTGAGCATCAGCGTGAGAGACTTGCCTGAGCATTAGCGTGAGAGACTTCCCTGAGTACCAGCATGAGAGACTTGCCTGAGCATCATCCTGAGACTTGACTGAGCATTAGCGTGAGAGACTTGCCTGAGCACCAGCCTTGAGACATGCCTGAACATCATCGTCAGACTTGCCTGAGCAACAGCGCGAGAGACTTGACTGAGCATCAGTGTGTGACTTACCTGAGCATTAGCGTGAGAGACTTGCCTCAGCATCAGCATGAGAGACTTGACTGAGTACCCGTGTGTGACTTGGCTGAGCATTAGCGTGAGAGGCTTGCCTGAGCATCAGAGTGAGAGATTTGCCTGAGCACCAGCGTGAGAGACTTGCCTGAGCATCATCGTGAGACTTGCCTGAGCCTCAGCGTGAGATTTGCCTGAACATCAGCATGAGAGACATGCCTGAGCATCAGCGTAAGAGACTTGCCTGAGCACCAGCGTGAGAGACTTGCCTGAGCTTCATCATGAGACTTGCCTGAGCATTAGCGTGAGAGACTTGCCTGAGCATCATCATGAGACTTGCCTGAGCATCATGAGACTTGCCTGAGCATCAGCGTGAGAGACTTGCCTGAGCACCAGCCTGAGAGACTTGCCTGAGCATCAGCATGACAGACCCGCTTGAGCATCAGCATGAGAGACCCGCCTGAGCATCATCGTGAGAGACTTGCCTGAGCACCAGCGTGAGACTTGCCTGAGCATCAGCGTGAGAGGCTTGAGTGAGTATCAGCGCGAGAGACTTGCCTGAGCACTAGCGTGAGACTTGCCTGATCATCAGCGTGAGACTTGCCTGAGCATCAGCGTGAGAGACACCTGAGCACCAGCGTGAGACTTGCCTGAGCACCAGAGTGAGAGACTTGCCTGAGCATCAGCATGAGACTTGCCTCATCACCAGCATGAGAGACTTGCCTGTGCATCATCGTGAGACTTGCCTGAGCATCATCGTGAGACTTGCCTGAGCATTAGCGTGAGACTTGCCTGAACATCAGCATGAAAGTCTTGCCTGAGCACCAGCTAAGACTTGCCTGAGCATCATCATGAGACTTGCCTGAGCATCAGCCTGAGAGACTTGCCTGTTCATCAGCGTGAGAGACATGCCTGAGCATCAGCGTGAGAGACTTGCCTGGGCATCAGCGTGAGACTTGCCTGAGCATCAGCGTGAGACTTGCCTGAGCATCAGCGTGAGACTTGCCTGAGCATCAGCTTGAGAAACACCTGAGCACCAGCGTGAGACTTGCCTAAGCACTAGAGTGAGAGACTTGCCTGAACATCAGCATGAGATTTGCCTCATCACCAGCGTGAGATACTTGCCTGAGCATCAGCGTGAGACCCGCATGAACATCAGCGTGAGACTTGACTGAGCATCAGTGTGTGAGACTTACCTGAGCACCAGCGTGAGAGACTTGCCTGAGCATCAGCGTGAGAAACTTGCCTGAGCATCAGCGTGTGAGACTTGCCTGAGCACTAGCGTGAGACTTGCCTGAGCATCAGCGTGAGACTTGCCTGAGCATC